AGCACAACGTCATTTGCATAGAGCATGCAGTATAGGACTGCAGATCATTAGTTATCGCGTTTGTCACCATTCACAACAGAAATGGGCTCAGCGCTGAAGACTGATAGATCCCTAAACCAAAACATCGAGTTCTTTAGTTTCTCGCATGTACTTCAAACTGGCGTTGTCACTGTTTTATATATGCCTTTTGTAAGCCTAGGAAATGTTCGTCATGCTCCAGCAAATTGTCTGCCTCGTCATTCGATTAAAATCTTTTTCAAGGACTATTAACACTAAGTGAATGCCTCTGTATGCCTCGAGGACTGATCTTTCTATATTAAGAATGAGTGATATGCTCGTCGTAATGAATCGCGCACCAGATTTCTTCAACTTAGCCGTTAGAATGATCAAGCGAATGTAACGTCGACAATTGCCAAGCGAGACGATCTATGTCGAATGGCATGAGTTTGAATTGGTACACACCAAAGGGAGTTGTAACAGTAGTCTTTTCCCTGCCTCGCTCATTCATTTCATTCAGTCAATATTCAGAGGCCAGGTCTGTCGTTAAGTATCATCCTTGGGCGTGACGTCGTTCAGTTTCTGATCACGCAAAATCTTGCGATTTAGTCTTTTTTCCTCACGAGCACAACCGACGTTGCTTATGGATTATTGGTCAGCTCGAATATGGAATTCTTTATTATATCTCTCACAAGTTTATTCGCTTTTTTTCCGTTGATGGGAAAGGACACGTCAATATCCTTTACAGATTGGCAAATTGGTCCCATTGCCGATCTTTTGCCACACTAAATTTGTTTTTTCGAGAACATCCTCTCCTCCAGCGAGAGCACATCTCAGTGATCTTAAATTACAGCTGACAACCGGTTCTTGGACCCTGCGTTCACCTCTCCATCGTTCGACAGCTTCCAGTTGATGTCATCGTTTGAGGGTGGAAGGCTTTTACCTGGGATGAGGGCTACATGATATACCGAATCGTACTGATCGTACTCATGCTGCCGAAAAGAGTGTCAGCGTACAGAGTTCTTGGTGTTCAACCCCCGTTTAAAGCCTGAGCTGGAATCACCCTGCGTTTTTGCCTGACCAGCGCCATCGCCCTTAACAGTCCATACCGCTCAGCGGTTTTGCTCGATGATCTAAAGGGTCTCTCCTCGTCATGATCACCGGCGCTTTGATCCACAACATCTGAGACGATTCTGAACACGCTTTCGGCGTGTATGGTCACTGTTACTTTAACCTTTACCGCTGACGTGCTCAAAACATCATGGGCTTTATGTTATCTCTTTCCCATGGACAGCTTGAGCGTCGTTCACCTGATAGCCACGCCTCCGTGGTTCAGATCAGTCACATATCCCAGCTTGCTGATAATGTCCATGTCCAGCACGCATTTATGAATCATGTCGTTTGCTGCCTATACGGAATTCCTTCCCGATCTAGACTTCGACTATCAACTGATCTATGAGATCTATACCAGTCGCTGAGGCAAAGGCTAAGTCTATTGTTTTGCTGCGATCAATGCCTTGTCTCTCTTCATTACTGTGACAGTCTCGCCTCGGCACCGTCAGCAGGAAACCCATTAGGCCACCATTTCTACTCGCTGGTCCTTAACCTCCCCTTAGACACTCACAATGGAACAATTTCGAAGAACGGACAATATGCAGAAGGCGGTTTCACAATAGGTCAGCCCACGCTTGCTGTGATTGAACCTTGCGTGTAGCTGGAACTTCATTTCTGCACGACCTGTTTTCATCGATGGACAGAAATGTTGTTCTGTTCGGGACGCTGGTATTCTCGACAAAGCAGGTTTTGAGGAAGTTTCACACAGCTGCGACTTTGACCATTCAACAGTAGTTCGACTGTTTCTACAGACCTTTGACCGTGTCCTGGAGTTGCCTTGAATCAACGTCTGGGGCATGCAACTGCTACCTTGCTACTAGAGAACCTAGGCTCGTGGAAGGCTGTTCAGTCGCCACGAGACCATCTTCTTCCAGCGCACACAGATGCAGTCTCTGGCCACGCTTCGTAAACGTGTCTCTAGCTCTGCAACCGTGCTGACGGCCTCTTCCAGCGATCCCGACAGTGTACGCCAAACTAGCAGAATCAGTTCTTTTCGGTCGAGGCTGCTAAGGAGTTTGTCCAACGCGAACATTTCTAGTTCGGTTTTGTCGATGGGTGGGTTGACTTTGTTCACTAGACGACTTATCCCTGTCTGCTTCCGTTAAGTCTTCACGGAGCTTCCGACTTCGATTTGTACAAAGGGTGCAAACGATGCTGCAGTTCAAAAATCGTATTGCCAAACTCAGATTCAACTTCGACGAAAATTCTACCAAAAAATTGTCCTGATCTTCCTGGCCGAATATACCGTTGGCCGCAGCAGGCCTCCTCGGTCCAGCCTTTGATGGAGGCTACTTCGTCGAAGCTTGTTATGTCCTCATCGAATCATTCTTCTCCGTTGAACACCAACAACATCAGAATTGGTCTCTCCATCTCTCCCCCACGCTGCAACCTTCACGCCAAGTTGCTTCTCTGACTAGAATTTTGCGTCTAACGTTACACTGACGATCACCAATTATAGCGTCAGCGGTTGCTGGGCTAAATGGCCTATGTCTTTTGCGTGGTGCCGCTATGCGAGTCATAGCAGGAGAAGACATAGTGAACATTTACTGCACCATACGGAACACTGTTGTATAACACACACAAGCACACACAGCACGACAGTGAACTTCTGGCACAAACTATTCGTTTTATGAAAACAGACTTCCTATTGACTTCCGATTCTTGAACGGCCAACCGTGATCAACCGGAAGTCATTTCTCTGCTATAACCGGAATTCCGGTAGTTAGATGGGAATATCTGCAATGTTACGCCAATCAGTCACAGCTGGTATAGTGGAGCAGGTCTTGCGCTCGAATAATCGGACAATATTCCGGCAAATTATACGGTAAAACGAGTTCCTTATTTCATTCGAGTGAAATTCAGAAAATTGTTTGCATATTTCACTGTTTTCTGATCCAATAAAATATCGGGAGCTGTCGCACCTTATCATACTGTCGCTATGATTGCATCAATTGTGTTCTCAAAACAGCCAGTATCGCATGCACAATAACTCACCCTACTGTATTGCGCAGAGAAGGTCACAACACCATCATTATTTGAGAAGACGTAAACATTAAGAACTATGCATGGAGAACGCTAATAAGGCTGACTTCTCATTGACCATGGAGACAATGTTAGATACAATTACAAACTACTGCAATTAGCTCGTTTATTCCTCAGTCAATCAAGCTGTATTCATCAAGAAGCCAAAATCATCACCGCGATAGAATTCGCACCAGAATAGTTCATTCAGATTTATTAATAGCGTTCAAATACACATTCAGTAGGTTGCTAATGATATTTCATTGAAGAGGTAGCTACTGTCAGACCTCCTTTTACAGCAGCACTCCAGATGTTCCTGCTAAATTCATAAAATTCTAATTTCATAATATACCACGGCATATGTTGTACCTACAACGAAAATGATTCCTTCATCTGGACGAGCCAATATTCTGACACACGCACCATTACGCTAAACCATATGATCTTACGGTAAATCTTAAGTAAAGGTATACCTTTCTTGATCTAAAATATGGCTTACTTACTAAAAATATGAAATCTTGTTAAAGATAATGTAAATGTATTATTCATCTGGTACGTAATAGCCGCAA